ATAAAATTTTAAATTTATAATCTTTCATTCGTTGTAACAGTAACGGTTTCAATTGAATTAAAATTCAATTCATCTAAACTCATCAAATGACCTTAGTGATAAAAAAGAATGTTGATCATCCTATAGGTGCTAAGTTTGAACAACAACATTTACAGAGAGTGTGTACGTTCTTAATAAGTTAAGAAATTTTTTTTGAACAAATATAACATTTTAATCAACTCATATTATTTCAAAAGAAAAAAAATCCATCCATCTATATTAATTAATGTAGAACATTAAAGGTGTTTCCAACACAATAAAAGGTGAGTTAAGTCAGGGATTTAATTCATGGTGTTTGCGAATAGAGTAAATTGGGTTGGGATGATCACTCTTTATCTAAAATATTCGTTTTAAATTAATCGATTAATAGATCAAATACTTGTGTTAAAAAAAAGTGAGCTAAGCTAATGCTATTGGATACACTTAGCCTATGTACTAGGTATTTTAGAACCAAAAAATGGGCTTTCAGCTCCAGTAAAAGATGTACATGACCAACACTGTTGGGTTATGGGAAAACCCAAAATGTCTATATACAAAAAGTCACAATCGAAGTTGATAATGTGAATTTTTATGAGCATGTCGAATGTGGATCCAAAAAATATGTTTTGTCAAGATTTAAAATTTCATTTTATTAAATGATTCTTTTATAAATTTAACCATCTTTAAAAATTATTTCATTAATTAAAATAATCTTAAAGGATGAGTTTGCAAATGTGAAAATGATTTGGAGTTATTGAGAGCATAAATTAGAGTGCAATTCATTAATTATCATCAATCAACCATGTTATCATCCATCATGTATTGTTACATCAATATTATAAATTATCATGTAAGCGTTATAATGATTAAGGTTTGATTTTGTTGATCAGATGATTATATTGATATTTTTTTCAGTTTAAGGATCACATTGAGTGCAAACAAAAATTCAGGGGTTGCACTAGTTTTTTTTCTCCTAAAGTTTGAGGACCTCAAATATCACTAACATTTTTTTTTTTTACACTTTTGTGTGCTCTCATTGTAACAAATTTTTGTGTATTTTTTAAATTTAATTGATATACATATGCATTAACACTATATTCTTATTATAAACTAAAATAATATTTTTGTATTATGAATTTTTTTATCAACATTATTATTTTATATTTGTATAATTTACATGTTAAATTTATGTAATGAAATTTTTAATAATTATATTTTAATTTAATTATTTAATAACTATTTGTTCGATCTCTATTTTATTTTAAAAATTTAGATACCAATATATTTTCACTATTTTAATTTATGTATTTAAATTTTCATTTATGTTAACCAAACATATTTTCTAATTTTCAAGAACTGAAAATGAAAAATTATTTTCTAAAAATAAAAATAAAAATAAAAACAAAAAATATTTTCTAAAACCAAAAATACCTAATTTTTTTACTACAACAGTGCTATTTGAAAGTCATTTTAATTATAGTGATACAAGTTTTAGATCGTTAGATAATTAGTGTTTGACCAAACTTTAGTTAGTAATATTTAATTAGGTTCTATTTTATTTCCATTGCATAAATATTATTTAATAGTCAAATTTATTTAATATAATAAATACTCCTTCTGTCCTATAAAAGATGTCCATTTTTTTATTTTTTTGAGTCTATTTGTTCAAAATTTAACTAATTATTATTTAAAATTTATTATTGATAAAAATATGTAAAAATATATTTTTAAAATTTTCAACCAATTAATTTTCAAATATATATTTTATAAAATTTAATTATTTAAAACATTTAAAATAATCAAGTCAAAGTTTAAAAAAATTGTTTTTTAAAAGACCAATAAGTGACAATTTTTATGGGATAGAGGAAATAACTATTAATAAATAAGTGGTTTTTAATGGTTAAATTTTTTAATGATCAAAAGTAACATATTTTATAAATAGATATTATTTTTTTCCTTGAAAACTATAAATAGATAGTAGAGTTTAGCTTTTAGGGGTCACGAAATATAAGATTATTTTTAGGAATAAGATTATTGATATGTAACATTAATCTGAGAATGTTATAATACTTTGTTTGGTTTTTAGTATGAATATAAGATTACAATGTTTGATTGGAGGAATATGAGATTACTTGAATTATATTTTACCAAATTATCTTTGTGATATATGTTTTTCTCAAAAAGTTAAACTTTAATATTAAATTATAAATATTTGAATAAAAATTCATAAAAATATTTTAATCGTTACATTATTTAACTTTTAAGAAAAAAACTATTTAACATATAATTAATATAATTAGTATATCAAACTTATATTTCTAAATAATTTTTATAAGAATCATATTTAGTTATATAAAATATAATATAATATGGAAAATAATATTGATGATATTATTTTTCAATGTATAAGATCCATTTTTTTAATAACTCAAAGCTAGATATTATTTTAAATAATTATATTTTTACAATAATATCTTTTCACTTCCTAAAATTATAAATGATTAATATATTAAATATTAAAAATATAAAATAATTTTAGTTACTCAATTTTTTTTAATATTTCACTAAATTAAACTCTTTGATATATTATGTTTATAAGTTTAAATAAAACACGAAGAATAAGAATCAAGAATGGTTCATATGAAAAAAAATATTATTCTAAGGGTGTTCCTATTCAAAGTGGTGGGATTTGTATAATATCTAAGAATTTGAAGATAATGACATTCCTACTATTTTAACAAAAAAAATGATATTACTGATAATAAGTTGTTACCTAATAATAATTTTTCCGTAAACCAAAAATGAAAATACAATTCCAAAAAATATTTCTCCTTGGTAATAATATTTTCCGCAAACTAAATGCCCTTTAAAAGTAAAATATACAATTAGTCCCTCAACTATAAGACATTTTTTGTTGATTCCTCAACTATTAAAAGTTACAAAATAATTCGTAAATCATAAGATGTTAAATTGAGTTATCCAACTATTAAAAGTTATAAAATGACCACTTAATTATTCATATGCTCCAAACTTATCATTTTCTATTAAAAAATTTGATTACTGTCTGAGTTGAAAGTTAACTTGTTGGTTGAGATATAATAAAATTATATTTTAATAATGTCTATTAACATCGTTGTTGCTTTTAAGCATTAGCTTAATAACATAATGTTTAAAGCACTAACTCGACGACATAATATAAATAAAAAATCGATCATAAAATACAACTTAAACAATTCTATGATCAGATATATATATATATTAAACTAAATGTTATTACAAAATAGTATCTATTATAAACACACTCAATCATTTGACAATGAACATTCAATTATCCTTACAGTCATTGGTGATCGAACCCGTGACCTCTAAAAATAATGATGATTCCTTTAATGCTGATGTAAGTTAATTCATACCTTAATCAACATATTTTAATTAAATAATCTTTTTATAACTTTTAATAGTTACATACTTAATAAAACGATATCATATAATCAAAAAATCATTTTAAAATTTTTTACAATAAAAAAAACTCAATAAAACAATACCTTATAATAAAAAATAACATACTATATACAATATCATTTCTATACTTTACCCATTTTAATACTAAGCAATGCCTAAATTATTGAAAAGTAAAGAAGTAAACTTCCTTAGTGATGAAGAAAGGGAAGAGGGGTGACGTACTGATGTGAAATACGTAAAAGGAAGCCCATCTAAGTTGGCAGTAACCGAAGTGCCTTGCGTGCTAAGGAAAGTAAAGCCACGTCTCAAGCATCCAAAGTCTGGTTGCTTATCTAATCATCCCTATTTTCACGTCCCAACGAGTGATGCACAAAAAAAATCGAATATTTAATTTTGTGTAAAAAATATTTAAAATCGGATTTAGGAAAAATTGTTTTTTAATCAGATTCGATTTTTTTAAACCGATTTGGAAAAAAAACTTAGATCGGTTTTTTTATCGGATAAAAAATCGATTTAAAAAAAATCCGTTAAAAACCTGATTTTTATCAGAAAAAATCGGTCTGGATTTAAAAAACTAACGGTTAATATAGTCGTTGGGGGGTTTTGTGACCCTCTTTAACATTTTTTTCTTAAAAAAATTATCATTTTACCACCTAAACACGTATAAGATATTCGATTTTAAGATTTTTTTCTTAAAATCGATTTTTTTATAACCGATTTTTTTAAAAAAAGAAACCAATTACACCGGTTAAGATATTCGGCCCTCCAAACCAGTTAGAATCCGAACCGATTATTTTATAAACCGATTTTTTATTTATGGGAAAAATCCGGATCGGATATCCAATCCAGATCGAATTAAAATCCAGCTTATGTGCATGTCTAGTCCCAATTGATAAAAAAAATTAGTATTACTTTTTAAGATCGAATAAAATAATAATTACTATGCTTTAAAATCTTAAATTCAAACATAAAAATACCAAATATACGAGTATTTCCATGTCAAAAAATTAAAAAATATCGTTAACCCTTGTACTTACTTCGTATTATCAAAAACAAAAAAATAATAAAAATAATGAAAATGGCTGCCGGCCACTCCAACAGGTGTTTGCTTTCAAGGTAATAAAGCAACCACACAACATTTCACTGGATATGCCCTTGACACATGTAAGAAAACCAGTTTACTTTCAACATGAGACGCTGGGTAGGTGACAGAGGAACACCCATCTTATATGTTCTAGTCTTTACAAAAAAAGGAAAAAGAAAAAAACTCTGCAATCTTTAACCAATGGTTCAAGATGATGCAACAGTCATGCCAAAAACTCTACACAGTTCTTGAAGCTCCCACTAATTCTACACCATCCGAGACCAGAAGATATTTTCTCAGTGTTTGAGTACAGTATCTATAAAATGAATTTCAGGGAGTTGAAAGTAAATGCATGCCTCTATCTTTACTTCGACTCATTCATTTTCAGGGATGACCATTTCAACCATATCCAACAAGATGAAGAAGATAACATAGATTCATTCAAACTTATAAAGCTTCCTGTAAAATATGAACTTTATAATACAAACATGCTTGAATTAAGCTGTTGGCTGGGATCGATCCCAAACAAAAATAACAAACCAACAGCCTGCAACTCCACTATGTTTTGCTCATTTGCACCATGACTACTTGTACATGGAAGATGAACATGGATATATATTTCTATAGTAACTGTACAGTGGCGATAGGGAGTGTGGAATGGGGTTGGCAAAAAAACAAACCACATTCATCTCCCAGTACCAACCAAGGTTTTTTTCTCGCTTTCTTTCGGCTTGACCGATGTCGGGAGCTTTTCTTCTGATGCCGGAATCTTTTCCGGATCAGGAACTGGTTTCGGTGCGTAGTTGAAGGAAAGGTCTTTGTTGGCAGCTAATGCCAGAAGTTCCTTCTCTTCAAGACCTTTTGTTGGCCCAAGGCTGCAACGGTCTGGTTTGTGCTTGGCCAAAGCATCTCTGAATTTTTTGATCTGTGGAATTATCACTGTGATTAGAACATATATCATGGTTAAACATGCACAAAAACCAGTTGCATACGATAAGCGACAATCGATACACCAACAATCTCACAAATAGAGCAACAACATGGCAATAAAAACCAAATGATCCGAATGGAATCATGTAGGTTTATTTTCATTACAATTACTAAACACAACTGATAAATTTTTGCATCAAAAGGGAAGGAAACAAACAAGACTAACCGTGGCATTGGTGCAGCTAAAGCTGCATAAACGCCCCTGAGCTCCTCTATAGAACCGAAAGAAAGGCAACACATGTACATTAAGGCTATAACACATGGATTTATGCTCCTCATAGTTCACCTGAAGGAACTGCACATCTGGGTTCATCTCTGCCAATTGACCAATCTACCAAATCCCAACATCCAAATTCACCACCATCATTAATAAGATCCACACAACTATCCAAAAGAACATACATACATACATATATATATAATCCATATACCTTGGGATGAAGAGCCTTACAGCCACCACAACCAGGGGAGAAAAAATCTACTATAACAAGTTGATCCCCTGCATTCAACAGAGAATCCACCAAATCTTGTGCAGATGTCACTTCTTTCATATTTGGTTGCAGTTCCTTCTCCCACCACTTCTGTGTTTTACCAATAAGCCCAGTTTGCATCTGATTTCATTAAACAAAACCAGGAAAAAGAAAAAAAATCCAATTAGTTTTCTCCCTTTCTTTTTTAATTTTATGATCCTTTGCAACAGATCAAATTATGAGGAAAAGAGAGTTTAAGTCATAAACTAATTATATTACTTAAGCTTTTCACTAAAAATCTGTTTTAAAAATAAAAATTTAAACTTTACAAATATATCAGATAATTGTTATCTAAAGATTTAACCTTTTGGGATGTGAAAACTAAACTAAGAACTAAGTTAAAAAAATTGTAGAAAGATAATAACAGAGCTTATAAATTAGTTCTAAAAAATAAATTACCGAGAAATTAAAAAAAATTAGAAAATATTTAATTTTCATGAGATTTAAAAATTGAAAATAAAAATAAAAATTAAAGATAATTAAACCAACCTGTGCTTTAAGGGGAAGTAGACGAGAACTTCTATCATTTACACTTTTCTTCTCTAAAAAAACCACTCTTTTTCCATTAAAACAACTCCTCGGAGCCTGAGATTTCATCTTCAAGGAAGGAAGAGTATTGTTTATTAAACAAAACCCAGAAATTTTCCTAGAAAATTCTTGATTCTTCTTCTGACTATAGTTACAAGCCATGAACAGATTTGCTTTCCCCAGAACTTCAGCCATGCCTAAAAAAAATTCCCCTTTTTCCCCCCTCTCACAACAGAAACCCAAATCCAGATTGAAATGGAATCCCTTTGCTAAGCTTTCTCTCTTGAAATTTAAAGCAAAAAGCTGCTTCCTTTAATCTTTCTTTTTCTTTGTTGGTACTTTGCCGTTTCTGTTGGTTATTTCAAGGTTAGAGGTTCGATTTTAACCGTTGATCTTTTCTGCTTGATGTGAATCTAACGGTTGGTGATGTCTTGTGAATGGAAATTTTTCAATGTCGAAAACGTATTGGATAAGGCTTAATTTATGCTACTTTTGTCGGTTTTTATGGTGGTGTGGAGATACACGTGATAAGTAGATGTGTGGGTTTTGTGACACGTGGCTTCAGAACTTAGATTGTTCAAAAGAGAAGGGTAGTTTGGGATTTGCACTTGGTGAATGAGGTTTTTTAAAGGAATTTTATACTTATCGAATCTGATATATTACTTTAACGATATTAAGTTATTTAACATTTAAACCAATTCAGGTGGGTATTTTGGCACTTCATCCATTACTTTTGTGGGCTAACTTGGAAATCTTTTGGCTAATATACCAATAAAGCCCTTAAACTATCACACCTTATTCAAATAAGTGCTTATACTTTATTTATATATAAATAAGTTTTTACTCTACGATTTTTACTGATGACTTAATGATCTTCTGTAAGGGTAATGCTGACTCTATTATGGGTGTCTTAAGTGTTCTTGACCTTTTTTATGAAATCTCTGGGCTCCACCTAAATTCCTCCAAATGTGAAATATTTTCTGCTGGCTGTTCTCCTAGATCAGTGGACCTATTTCAACATATTTCTGGGTTCAAAAAAGGTTGCTTACCTGTGAGATACTTAGGTATTCCCCTGGTTACTCGTAAACTTACTGAGAAGGATTGTGTCGTGCTTATCGAAAAAATTAAACAGAGGCTTCACCATTGGTCTGCTAGAAATCTGAGCTATGCTGGCAGACTTGAACTTATCCGCTCTGTCCTTTTCAGCGTCTCGAATTATTGGTGCAGACAACTTATCCTTCCTCATTCTATTCTTGCCAAAGTGGACCAACTCTGCTCCAGATTTTTCTGGAAAGGTGACGACAAGCCTGCCAAAGGTTCTCGAGTAAGTTGGGATTTTATCTGCTTTTCTAAAGCGGAAGGTGGACTTGGCCTAAAGAACACTAAAATCTGGAACAAAGCGTGTTCTATTGATCTTATTAGGAAAATCTTAGCGGGTCATGGCTCGCTTTGGGTGGCTTGGTTAAAAACTTATGTTTTCAAAGATCAAGATTTTTGGAATTTTGTTGCAGGTTCTAATGTGAGCTGGAGTATTAATAGACTTCTTAAATTGCGTCCTACTGCCCTCATCATCTTCTCCTCTTCAAGTTCTCTTGGACAAAGAGATATTTGGGAGGCTATCCGTATCAAAAGGGAGAAAGTTCCTTGGCATAATCTTATTTGGTTTCCCATGCACATTCCTAAATTCAGTTTGATTGCTTGGATGTCTTTGTTAAACAGATTACCAACTAGAGATCGGCTGCTCAAAATAGGAATTTCAACAGACGGGACCTGTGTTAATTGCAGAGACGAACAAGAATCAAGAAACCATATTTTCTGCCAATGCACTCTTGATGTTCGACTTTGGAGCTCTGTCTTGTCGCTTAATGGTATGAAGAATGCTTCCTCAACTTGGGAAGAAATGGTAAATTGGGCTTCTTCAACTTGGAAAGGGAAATACTTACTCACCACAATTCTAAAGCTTTCTTGGACAACCTATACTTAATCACAGAATCTTCAAAGACCGTCACAGATCTACAAATGAATTGCTCAACGTTATTATTGAAGCTGTGCGAATCCAACTTAAGGGTAAAAATATTAATAGAGCTGATAGAATTAATTCTAACATTTGTAATGCATGGGGTATTACTTAATTAATCTTTGCTTTTGTAACAGTTGTGTATAATTCTTTTGTATTGTTTGATTGATTGTTTTGTAGCAGAACACTATTCTTTGGATAATAAAATTTGATTTATCCAAAAAAAAAATCATTTTGTGTGTGATACAGATCAAATAAAAGTACATTACAATATACTCTTAATCTCTTTCTATATTAGATCCTTTACTGTAATTGGAGGAGAATCAAACATAACCTCTCATATTTGGTATAACAAGACTGATATTGTTTATATCTTTAATATTTTTTTAGATAACAAAACAAGCTATTAAATCCGAAAGAAACCTTTGGGGTCTGGATGCATCTCCATGGATTCACTTGGGAAGATTTTCCCGTCTATCATCAAAGCATTTAATTTAATGGGAAAAATTGATAAGAACGTTGAAGGCCCACAATTTTCTTTTTAAAAGGGAAACAAAAGAAAAAAGGAATCGCTTTAAATACAAAAGTCTAGTGATTATGAAGTTGATATTTAGGAAATTGGGATTGATTAATTATGATTGTCGTTGTCATTATATTAAAATTCTCCCGATTCAGTTATTACGTAATCATCGACGGGTTAATTTAAGTGGTAATAATTTGATATCGTTTAAGTAGGTCTCGAGTTCAAAGACTTGAAAACTGAAAGGACAATAAAAAAATATATTACATAATCATTTTCTTATTTCACTCAATTTAAAAGTGACCTTATATCTATTTACATTATTTGTTTGAGTTTTTTATTAGATTATTCCCAATTTACGGTGTTTTAAAGTTTTGTTTATATGGTGATCCAAGTCTATTCAAGAGTTTTCAGGATGGTTGTATATGTATGAAAATTTTCAATTATGGTGGGATTTAGTGTATCGTGTTAGGCTTGAAGAGCTCTATGTGTCTTGACCGAGTTTTATTAGGTGTTCTTTTGTGTGCCTTTTAGGGTGTTAGTTGTTGGTATTTTCCTCTCATATGAGGAAAATTGAAGAGGACAAGAGCCTAATTTGACTTAAGTTTGAACTAGAGGGGACCTAAAATGGCATTACTGTAATAGCTCGGTATTTCAAGTCAACATATGGAAGTTGACCCAAGATAACTTTGGGCCGGTTTAGGAGCATAGTTGGACCCTTGAGGCATGTTAAGTCTCATTAGGATGGAATTGGGCTCATTTGGGCATACGAGAGGGAGAAATTATAAAGTTTCATGTTATAGTTGATTTCCCTTTATTTTTTATGAAGTTGCCATGGTTTTAAGGGGGAAGTCTGATAATTTGTAACCCATCCTTCATCATCTTTTTTCCATTCTTATATCCATTTCTTTCTTTCTATTCTTTCCCATAGTGGAAAAAAACTATTTTGGCACTTGTATTGAAATAATCTCAGCTCAGTCAAGTTATGAAATATCCATAATTTATGAGTTTCAAAATAAGATGAATATAACTCATTTTTGAAGGTACGAGGTTGGGAGGGGTAAAATACATTAATTTGAAGGAATTCCATCATAAATGAACTTGGTTGAATGCAATTCGGACTTGAGAAGCAATATGAGAAAGGCAAAGGACTCGAATAAAAAAATGGGAAAAAATCTACTCATTTTGTATATGAAGTTTCAAAATTTTCCTAGGAGCTTTTAAACTTCTAAACTGATAATATTCATTTTTAGCTATTGGAATTGCAAGTTTCGAAACTTGTATTGGGAGTTTCGAAACTCCTGGAGACAAATACAAAATCTATGCAAAACTTGCCTAAAGACCCTCGAAATTCACCTATAAGATCCTTAATATTCTTAGTCCAATCCAAACATTTAAAGACATTTTTAGGGCATATTCAAACACATTCCAAAACATACTATACAAATATATGAGTTGAGCAAAATAAGTTAACATGCTAGTTGGGTTACCAAGGGGCACCCAACAGTAACAAACATAATCATTCCTAAGGTAACCTAGGCATGTCAAGAAAGCATATATCAAAAGTCATATGCCATCAAAATAAGGGTCCTTATGGACCATTAAAAATTTCCCAAAGACTAGCTAACACCAAATATCTAGGATATCACAAGTATAGATATCACTAACATACTCAAAATATATAAAGGAATGTTGTTTATTGTGAATGCTTACAATGAACCTTGAATGATGATGCAACAATTTAGACTAGTCATAATTCCTTGATATACCTACGTGTGAAAGAAACATACGCACACTAAATCTCAAACTTAGTGAGACAATAATAACACATTTAAGAATATAATATAAGTATGGTAATTATAATAGTTGATATGTTAAAGCCTCTACATGATCACATTAATGCTTGTATTATTATTAGTAATAAGTTGACATGCTCATTAATCACAAATTGTAACATTCCGAATATTGGGTTAGAGCTTCAAGTAACCCATAAGGGCTTAGGGTGATTGTAATGGACCATCATTAAGTGTTGGGCCAAGTTTGGGCTTGATTGGGTTAATTCTTGGGCCCATATAGATTTAGGAAGGGTATTTTTTATTTGAGACCAAAAAGGGCATTTTTTATTTGGGACCAAAAAAGGAATGATTAATGTAACACCCCTAACCCGTATTCGACATGAATACGAGTCCGAGATGTCATATTAACTTTTCAAATCATGTACTTGTACAAAATAGATGAAAACTCAAATTTTCATTAAAATAACTAAATATTTTAACATTAATTAAAATACAATTGGTCTTACAAACATATCAGAGCATATTCCATGTAAACATGTTAGTACATGCCAATTACAATTAATATAACCAAATACATATGATTCAAATCTCTTTTTTGATCTGATCTTCGGAAAGGAGAGGCTAACATGTTTTGCTCCTCTTTGCTCCTTAATCTTCTCGAAACCTACGTATGAAACATTCACACGCTAAGTCTATGACTTAGTGAGGCATATAATACATATAACGTAAACTATAACTCCTAACAATGCATGCATAATTTCATACTATCATATCATATAAACCCATACATTCTTTCATGTTACAATTACACACATGCACATATATCATTATTTACATTCTTAACATTATCATATATATTTATCATTCATATCTCCTAGTCATATGCTCTTGTATCTAACATTCTTAATCAAACAATACACACATCATCATATAATTCCTATAGCACATTTTATATTACAAAAGCCTATACATCGCATATAGTGTATTTATTGTTATCTCTTTATTAACCA